AAAAGTAGGATGGCTCACTTTTTATAAGATGACTGAAAATTTTACACAGTGTTTACTTTAGTTGGGCTCTTGACCCATGACTTTTTAATATTGCATCTAGTTTGTCAGATATAGCAAAATTATTACAGACAGACTTCTGCAAAAGTCATCAGATAGTGATGATTATGTTCTAACATAAGTGACCTGTATAACAGAGTTAGATTTTCTTTGTTGGTTACATCAACACTGTGAACAACAATTTCAAAAATAACCTGACAGATATTTTAAAAGCTTGTTTTATGCAAAAACTTCAAGACATCAAGAATCAGCGTGAGAATCACAACAATGGTGAACATCAAAAGAACATGTTTTAGCCAATCAAAACTCATCCATGACTCCCATCATGCATTGCGGCATTAATAAATTATGAGCTGAATTGTCTTAGTAATTTATTTTATTCTTACTGTTTTCTTTTATTTTTGCTGTTTTTATGTGACTTCTTAGTAGCTTGTTTTGTGATGTTCAGAGTTGATCTGTTTATCTGAATATGCTGTTTGTCACCGTTGTTGAGATTCATACACTGGTTTTTTGATGTCTGTTTCTTTTTTTGATCAGAACAGCTTGTAACAAATCCTTCCCAAATTTTTAAGAAATACAGAATCTTTTGCTGTGGAAACACAAGGCTGTTGTAATCAATAAAGGAAATTTAACTCCACGAGTAGACTTTAAACGAGTTCAGAGATTCAGGAAAAATAACGGTTAAGTCAGAGCATAATCATCATCATCATCATCATCATCATCTGATAACTTTTGCTCTTTGCAAAAATCTGGCTATTATAATTCAGTTATAACAGCCAAATAAAATGCAACATTAAAAAAGTCATGGGTCAAGAGCCCAACTAAAGTAAACACTGACTTCATTCATTCATTCATTACATTTTATATAGCGCTTTACATTGTCAGGGGTGATCTCCTCATCCACCACCAGTGTGCAGCATCCACCTGGATGATGCGACGGCAGCCATAGTGCGCCAGAACGCCCACCACACACCATCTTATTGGTGGAGAGAAGACAGAGTGATGAAACCAATCAGCAGGTACGGGGATTGTTAGGAAGCCATGATGATCAGAGGCCAATGGGCAATTTTGGCCAGGATCCCGAGGTCACACCTCTACACTTTTTGAAAGACATCCTGGGATTTTTAATGACCACAGAGAGTCAGGACCTTGGTTTAACATCTCATCTGAAGGACGGTGCTTGTTGACACTATACTGTGGTATTAGGACCCACACAGACCACAGGGTGAGCACCCTCTTCCAGCAGCAACCTAGTTTTACCCAGGAAGTCTCCCATCCAGGTCCTGACCGGCTCAGCCCTGCTTAGCTTCAGAGGGTAACCAGTCTTGGGGGTACAGGGTGATATGGCTGCCAATTGACCACTATAATGGTGACTTAAAAATTGTGATTTTCTTCTTTGGTGATTCTGCTTGTTAACATCAGGTGTCTTCAATAATGTTCAATCATTACTCAATGAATCTCTTAATTACCTCATTAACTTTAAAACTGCTTCAGTGTTACTTTTAACACTGTTGTGTGGACGCATATAGACACCCAGCAGTGTTAATTTAACACCGGGGATTTTGCTGTGTAAGGGAAACAATTCTTGATGCATGGTCAGCCACTGCCAGCTCTTTATGCAGAAGCTGTTCTGTTTTCTAAAAAACTGCCGGAACTGTGTGAAATTCACAGCTTTCTGAAAACGGTTTTGGTGCAGCACTTGGGTGAAGCACTGTGAGTGTATCTAGAAGGTG